CAAATAAAAGAGAGGACTTGAGAATAAACAAAATACTAAGGACAATATCAATTTAGAAGAGGGTAATCTGCAACTTCTAATATGCTTATATCTAATCAAGAAAAAGGAGTAATCCACTCTTAATCAAGATTAGACAAAGCTCTATTGTTATAGGTGTACTCTTGTCAATCTTTCAAGGACAAGAACTTGATGAAAAAACAATCGAGACAAATGAGCCTTCATTCAAAGAAAGATAACAAAATATAAATAAATAAGTATGTATATTGAAAGAGAAACTAGAATGGCTATTGCTAAAAGACAAGAAAACTAGAGACCCTTGAAACTAGACTAGAAGCAAGAAAGGAGTTGACAAGAGTGAAGAAGGCTTCACTCTTGTCTCTATATATACTATCTAACTAGGGACTACGTGGCAACATTCTATAGGACCTCCAATATGTGTTGACTTTGTAGGACACATGCCTTGACTTACAAGGCAAGTTTTTCTATGTGTGGGCTATATAGTTAGCTTGATCTTCAAGCTAACAACATGTGTGGCACATGGCCAACTTGTTGACCACGTTTCTAATCCAAAAAGTCAATTAAAGACACCTATGAAGTCAAAGCAGCGTCTATGAAGCTTCTAGGAAGCTTTCATATTAAATACTATAGAATTAACTTACTTTTACATACTTTTACTTACTTCTATCTATTTGTATATGTAATTACCAGCTTACATGAGTATGTCCGTGACAAAGCGTTCTTCAAATTCAAAAATAGTTTTAAAAAATATCTTAGAAATTTATATCTTATTTTGAAGTAACGATGAAATTTACTGTAACATAATATTAAAATAATTTGATTAAAAATTCTAAATAGTTAAAAATATTTTTTAAAAATTTAAAATATAAAAATTATTTTATTCGATGAATAGAATTTTATTTAATAAATTTTATTTATTTTTACTGTAACTTATGTTATTTTTTATAATTAGTTTAATAAATTTAATTATATTTTTACTGTTAAATATAATTTATTTTTATACTTAGTTTATTACTCTCTAGTTTTTATTATTTAACAATATTATATAAAATATTTTGTATAAAGAAAACAAATCATCCTCTATTTATATTTATCATGTAAATGTTTTCTTAAATTCTAATAATTTTATGGTAAATTAGTATTAAGTTTAACATTATGTGATTTGCTCATGCTTACTTGTTATAGCAATCCTTTGAAATATATTTTCAATAGTAATATTAATGGTAATTTTGTCCAAATATAAATTTTGGTTACAATTGATATTTTACTAAAAAGATAACCTATTTTTTTAACACAATTTTTCATCTTTTTATTTCTTTGTAATGAGAAAGAATCTTCTCTCTTGATGTAATTGTTTTCAACAATATTTCATTAGAAGAAACAATCTAAATTGTGTATGGCCAAAAAATATCAATAAAAAATAATATACATATTTTATATTTTGAATTCTATTATAAGACATAATTTTAATCAGGAATTTTGTTATATTTGATTTATAAATATGATATTATTCTAAAATAATCACAATCATTTATTTATTTTAAGAAAAGTCTAAAAATGTCATTTTTTTTCAATTTAATCTGATAAGGACAAATGAATCAAAGTTTGTAAAATTAAGAATTTTTAAAGTATAAATCATTTGTAAAAGTTTTTGGAAGAAGAAAATTATAGATTCTTTTAATATTTTTATTACTAAAAATAAAATATATTTTACATTATTTTTAAGTTTGATAACATATTATGATATCTGAAGCATATTTTATAAAAACCAAGTGAAGGCTATAAAATGTCTTAGGTCGCTATACTAGATTATGGAGGTTTTTGAAAGACTTCTGAAATTTATTAAAAAACTATACAAAGATCCGACACAAAGTTATGAGCAATTTAGAAAGTATATATATATATATATATATATATATAATTTCTACATATTAAAAAAATCTAAATTTTGTTTAATATTACACTTTTTTATATATACAACTTACTTTAATAATATTTTCTTGTATATAAAATAAATAAAAGTATATATATATATGTATATAAATTTTTTTTTATGAATTTTTATTATTATTAATGGCTTGAATATGAATTTATTAATTTAAATAGTCAAGATTTTTAGTATTTGCTCCAAGATTATCAACTTTTGAGAAGTTAAAAATATCAAGTCATATATAATAATTAATCTCTCTATTATCTTGAGTATTAAAGGCCAAAGATAGTTGTATGTCTAACTTTAGAATCTTGAAAAAGATTTTCTAAAAACTTGATATAAATTGAATCCTCCTATCCAATATAATATCCTTGGATAATCGATGATATTGATAAATATTGTCAATAAAAATTTTAGCTATTGCTTTACTTGTGATAGATTTTGTACATAGTAAAAAATGTGCTATCTTGGTAAAATGTTCTATTTTCATAAATGTAAAATTATTTTAGCTTGAGATTAAATAATTTGTGATAAAATCCATAGAAACTAAAGACCATAGGTATTGCGGAATAAGCAATTGCTGAAGAAGACTATAAAGTTAATAACAAGGAGTTTTTAATCTTGAACAAACATGATATGATTGTACAAAGTGTTTGACTACCTTCTACATTTGAAGCCACCAAAAATTTCTTAATATTAATTATAAAGTCTTGTTGTATCCAAAATATCCAATTATTGGAAAGTTGTGACAAACACACAGAAACTATAAATAAGGTTAGAAGGTAAAATGCTATCTTTCATAGATTTTATAGCAAACATTTACTATTTTTTATTTTGATTGTGATGGATGTTGTTGATGAAAAATATCAACCTTCTTTATTATATTTGCAAGATTCTTTGATGGCTACTATGTATGTTTATTAATACTATATCTAGGCCAAAAAATAAGATATTCCAACTTATTTCAATGTTGCCTTAAGTCTAAGTCTTCTTTCACTTTGAACTCTTGATTATTATCTACTTCTATATGAAGAGGTAGTATTTGACTTCTTCTTGAGATATTCATTGTCTCATATGGCTCAAGAAGAGATATATGGAATATGAGTTAGATCTTCATAAACTCTAATACATGTAATTGATAAGCAATAGAATTTATTTATTCACAAATATAAAATGATCCAAGCCTAAGATAAACTAACTTATCACAAGAACAACTTATCTTGATATTGTGACAAAGTAACCATACCTTGTTGCCAATGTAGAATTGATGTTGTTCCTTACAATAGGCATCCGCATTGATCTTTTGTTGTTCTTAACTTCTTTTAATTGTGCCTTCATTGTTATATGTAGTTCACATAAATGATTTTTCAAATCTTTTGCCCTAGGATTATCAACTTTTGAATAGTCAAAAATATCAAGTTGTGGATGATAACTATAATTAACAAAGTAGTAAGGAACTTGAAGAATGTATAATTATGCTTTGCTTTTTGGAATATGTAATTGTTTTTAAAAACAAAATAAATTGTTCTTGAATTCAAATGTAGAAGTATCATGAGACTTAGAAGAAATATTTTTAATATTACAAATAAGAAGATCAAAGGACATACTTGATTAAACTTACTTGAAAAAGGTTGAATCAACAGTTAGTATTAATTTCATTGCTTAAAGATGAAAATACTTTGACTTCAAAAGAATCATTCTTTATTGATCAAAAATTGCCTCTCCTTTTTTTAGTGCAAGATAAGAACATCTAAAAAGGGCGTTTGATAAATCTTATTATTTTTTGGATCGATAAGTGATCTTGAAACGAAATCTTAATAAACATATGCTTCAATGAGCTTAGTGAAAATTCAAAATACGTGCCAATATGAAATATCCAAGGCTCTTATGATTTGTATATATGATGATTGGACAAGAAGTGCAAGATTATGAACTTTTGTCTAATTTTTATGTGTATTGAGATCATCTCAATTTTATTTTCATGATAATTAGAAAATTGAAATAAATATACAGTAACTTGGATCCATTTTAAATTTCTATTGTTAAAATATCAATGCAAAAGTCATTATGTACAAAAAACAAGTGCAAATAAAAGAAAATCAAGAATTGCCAAATATATTGTCATTAATAAAATAAAAATAAAAAATAAAATACAAACACAATTTTTTTGTTTTGACACATACAAATGTTACAGAAACCTACTTGTTGGATCAGGTGCGATTTATCATCATTATTAATTCTAAGAACTATTTCAGACAAGTAAAACGAAAAAATAACTTATTTTTGTTTTTTTCATTAAATGAATTGTTAAATAATTATCATGAAGTAGGCGATATTAATATTTAAAGAAATATATTAATTATTAAAAAATAAAAAAACATACAGAATTAAACAATCAGTCAATGCAGAATTGAATCCTTTCACATTAAAAAGGTCATAAGAGTCAGTTAGAGACTCTGAGTCCAAAGCATTATACAGTCTATAATGCTTTATACAGTCTGTAATGATTCTGCAAAGCAAGACATTGATTGTGTGCTTCAAAGCTCGATTGATTGACTGATCCCTTAAGACAATGGTCCATGTGTATTTATGAAGCCCTTACTTAGAAACTGTGCACCAGTTAGTTCATTAAAGTCTCATATAGGAAGCAAAATATTGCTTCTCAAGGAGAATTACAAAAAATAAACAGACCTACGAAAAGATTCTCCGAGGCAGAGAGTAGAGTTGCTTTTTGGCAGAACCCAGTTCACGCTCCGAAGAGGGTAGTACGTTGATACGATCAAATTGCGCACATGCAAACGTAGCATACACGTCTCTCATCATTGAAATCCTAACCCTAAAGCTGTGTGTACAACCCAACTGGCATAATTTTAGCATGCGGCCACTTGTTCCATGATCATCTGCATGGGGGTTGTTTACCACCCTCCAGGGCCTCGTGTGGATGGAATTATACCCCTCATACGACTCCCCGTGGCCGGAAAGCACTGAAATCACTGAAACCTGTGAATCCCTACAAGTGTCCCTCATACTCTCTCTCACACACAAACACAATATTGCCAAAAATGGATTAATACTTGATTCCATAGCAAACGTGATCCTTCCTTGAGAGTTGCAGTGTTTGAACTTGATGATCAGCACTGGCAGCTTCCTCATGCGAGAGCTGGGGGAGGGTGCGGAAGGTCAACACCCTGGGATTGGCAGATTTACACAAACACACCGTGCTAGAAAACTGCGAAACGGAAGCCCACGAGTGTGCAGAGTCAGTCTCTCTCTCTCTGTCTCTGTCCCTGTCTTTCTCTCTCTCCTTCTCCTTCTCGCGGGGTCCTTGGCCTAGAGTTAGCATGAGTGTGAAGAAAGTGGGTTAGTGTCAGGATCAGTCCTTGGGCTGTCATTGAAACCCCATGTACTTGGTATAGATACTATGCCGTGGAGGGAGCAAGCTGGCACAGACTCTTGAGGTGGGGGGCATCTATGAGGGAGCTGTGCTTTGTACTGTTTTTTCTCTGTACTGTTCTCCTCCGCCGGGGAAGAGGAGGAGGGAAGAGGTTGCATGCATCCTTGAGTGAGTAAGTGCGTACCCTTGCAATCCCAAATCATGATCTCTCCCCCCACTCCTTCCAACCCCTAATTCGCTCTGCTTGCTGTAGCAACTCTGCAACAGCAACCCAGCAGCAGCCATGCCTTGCGTCGACGCTTGTATTGGTGAGGAGGGGCGCTGACCCCTCGCAACCTCCGCGCGAACCGGCTACTGCCGGTGACCAGTTGCATCCGCAAGTGTGAATGAGACCACGTGCAGAACAGAGCCCACCATCGATGTTGTGAGTCAGCATCCAGCTCCCTCTTATGACAAGGAAAATGGTCCACGTGGACAATGTAAGTCCAGCTAGGCATATGGACGCCACCTCAGTACTTTGGATCTGAATGTTCGTTCGTTCGTTCGTTCGTAAATTTGGAACGGAGACCTCGATTTCCAAGCCCTAATTAGCGGTGTGGTGTGCACAGGGAGAGAGGGAGGGATTCGTAGAAGCGTTGAGCTCCACTCTGTTTTGCTTGAGGAGGAAGGAGAAGGAGTCAGTTCAAAGGAGGAGGGAGCTCTTGAATCCGATCCCAGCCAGGTTTGTCGATCGACTATTCTACTGCGTTTCTCTTGGCGATTTAACTTTGGTCTGTAGGAGAATTGCGAGGCCTGAGAGAGGATTTGGCCGGATTCTGGTGGTTAGTTTTAGTAGCCTGGTTTTGATTTGGTTGTGTTTATTTTCTTCCGGAAGCGAGTTTGGAGTAGGTTCTCGGCGTTAGGTCTATTGAAGAGGTTACTGATTAATTGGAATTGATGTCTAGAAGCTTAGATGAGAGGTTTTGCGCGGCGTAATTGCGCGTTGAGTGCCTATTGTTTTGAATTGTAAGTGCTGTTTCGATTTGCAAATTGTCAGTGAGAGAATAAATGTATATTTTTTCTTATCGTTTGAATGTAATTCTAGCATCTGTATGCTTCGGTTACGATCACGTGTTTGAACCGAGAACTATGAATTATGGTGAATTCTGGTTTTCCGCTGGAGCTGGAAGTTGCGGACGTGATGGTTAGAAAGATGTCTATGAGCTGTAGAGATTTGTAACAACTCTGTCTAGAATGACATACTTCACCGTGTCCTTCAGAATGCGAGGGTGTAAAATTAAGCCCGCGTTTAGAACTAATCTGTAACAAACCATTCATCCAGCTCTCCAGAGGAGTCTGATTATTCTTAAGGAAGGTAATTCGTCCAACACGGCGCATCCTGCAGCTATGGAGCCGGCAGGTTCGGTTCCTGGATCACCGTCCAGGTTACTTTCGCCATCTCCCACATCAGATGCCTTTCCGTTTCTGGGAGAAGCCGTGATTCCATTGGTTAACAAGCTCCAAGACATATTCTCTCAGCTGGGTAGTGCTTCCACTATCGATCTACCCCAAGTAAGCATGCATGTTCCTTTATCGTTGATCACCAGCTGTATGTTAATCGGATACACTTGACTTTTTCTTGCCTTGGGTGTACTTTGTCACGTTGGCGCAGCACCATTTCCGGCTTCATGGCCTCTGTTTGAATCACTTGAGTGTTTAGAAACGTTCTACAAGGTCTAGTAGATACAAACAATATTCAGTGACGACAAAGGATATTTGATCATCAAGCACTGAACGTTGTTACATTGTATCTTTTGAAATGATACTTAACAGTTTGCAAAAATACGTGCATGATTGAGTACGATTTCTGTAGCACACGATATTACTTTTTATTTTCTCTCTATTTATGTTTATTTATTTTTTTGATTTGCAGGTAGCAGTAGTTGGGAGTCAAAGCAGTGGAAAATCCAGTGTATTGGAGGCTCTAGTAGGACGTGATTTTTTGCCAAGAGGTTCAGATGTATGCACTCGACGGCCTCTTGTCCTACAGCTGGTGCAGACCTCACGAAGGCCTGAGGATCGGGCGGAATTGGTAGAATGGGGCGAATTTCTACATATCCCTGGCCGGCGTTTTACGGATTTCGAAGCAATCCGTAAAGAGATTCAGGTGAAGTTTGTTTTAAATTTTTTCCAAGAAAAAGGATATTCAAAAATGTTGTTTTGATACAATACTTCATGGGCTGTGTGTGTCTTACAACATTTCTGTTTTGTTCGATTGTTGCTTCTTTTGCACGAATTATTCGTTGTCAAAGACAATTGAGTATCGTTGGAGTTCATTCTTGGCGTACTAAATGAGGTGCCACTTCTCGGGTTGCAGGCTGAAACTGACAGGGAGCTTGGAACGAACAAGGGGATTTCTGAAAAGCAGATTCGACTGAAAATTTTTTCACCTAATGTTTTGAACATTACGCTTGTGGATCTTCCTGGAATTACCAAAGTACCTGTCGGTGATCAACCCAATGACATTGAGGCCCGTGTTCGGACTATGATTCTATCCTATATTAAGCATGACACCTGCATCATCCTGGCTGTCTCTCCAGCAAATGCGGATCTGGCAAATTCAGACGCTCTTCAAATGGCGCGCATCGCTGATCCTGATGGTATAATTTGTTTCTTTCGTATAATCGAATTTTTATTGCATCAACAAAAGTTGTATTTCATCAACTTAGCTTGCTACTGTGAGTGTTGTACAAGATCTGTTAGAGTGAAAAAAGTTTTAGTGAGAATCTGGATCTTGGCATGCACAAGGTGAAATGTATCTTATGTCAGCCTGTAGGATATACGCATCGAACGATTCTCTTGTCAAGCTTCGTAGTCTTTATTTTATTTATTATTTATTTAAAATAGATATTTCCGTCATGGATTGAAAGTTGAGTAGTTGTCATCATGTAACTATTACACAGTGTGCATGGTTTTCTTTTGTAGGATCTCGAACCATTGGGGTTATTACCAAAGTAAGCTGACTTTTCTATTTTCTTTTGTCCCTACTATGGCATTGGTGCTTCCTTCCCACATTAAGAAGGGTTGAAATAAGTTTTGCTTTTGATTTTTGACTTTTGATTTTTTCAATTTTTTTATCCTTTTCGAAGTGTCTTGATCTTGAGCTCTTTGATTGGTTAACTTGAATGTGCAGTTGGATATTATGGATAGAGGAACAGATGCGCGGAATTTTCTTCTAGGAAATGTCATTCCATTACGACTTGGCTATATTGGGGTTGTAAACAGGAGCCAAGAGGTACTTCTACTTGCTTTTTGATTGATGTTTGTGTATGTAACGAACACATCTGGCTCTACATGCTAAGATTGTGGAGATGATGCAAAACTTTGTGTTATATCAAGCCATTGCTGTGGTTTTTGATTGCGTTGCCTGATGTTCCGTGTTGACGAAATGCAAGTAGTTGAGAATTTTCAACTCATGGGTTTCTTGTTTTCTTCCTGTAGGATGTTATCGCAAACAAGAGCATTCGAGATGCTCTTGTCTTTGAAGAGAGCTTTTTCAGAAGTAAGCCTGTAAGTGTACACTGCGTATCTTACTTATGCCATGATCCGAATTGTTTATGAGTGGGAATGCGTGAAGTCTGTGATGTCTACTAAAATGGTGATAGTATATCATGCTGTTCAGATCGAAAAAAGCTTATGGTACTCAAGTATTTTTCTTTAATTTTTTTTTTTAATCAACAGTTTCTTTCACGAATATTTCGATATTACATGTACCATAGGAGAAGATTGCACTTCAATATTTGAATTTCTTACGTTCGAATATCTCCTTACAATTTAACCTTGCTGTGGGTAACCCTGCGCCATATTGTACGATAGTTGTTTGGATGAATGATGATATAAGATTTTTGTATGTTTACAGGTATATCATAGTTTGGCTGACAGATGTGGCATTCCTCAGCTGGCGATTAGGTTGAATACGGTACTATCCTGTAACTGAAGTTTTATTTGATGATATTTGGGTGATATATGGTTCTTGAGTGAAGTTCCCAGATGTCCGTGTGCTTATTTCCTAGCTTAATGATGTAAACAATGATGGTCTTTGGTCTCGAAACAAGAATTGTATTTTCCTTTGTGTTCAAAAAGGAGTACAAGATTTTTATAGATCTTATCGTTCGGTAGTTTTACTTTTAGTTTTTCAGAGCACAGTGATTGCACCAGTATGTTTGCGTTTAATTTTCCCAATATCTTGGTATGTATTTTAGTCTCAATGAGTTTGAGTTTGGTCTTTCTCATTTTGAATGCTGAGCTTCTTTGAGTGTTAACTTTTGTGATACTTACACTCGATGATTGGCAGATTTTAGTGCAGCACATTAGAGCAATACTTCCTGATTTGAAAGCGCGCATCAGCACTCAGATGATCAATATTCAAAAAGAGCTTGCTAGTTATGGGGAGCTCACAGAATCCAAGGTATCTTTGAACTTCTGCTCTTATTGTCCTGATGTTCCTTCAGATCCGTGCTTGCATTTAGTTTTAGTTAAATGATTATTCGTCGTTTCTGACTGTCTCATTCGTAATATGGTTCTACTCTGGTCCGACTGAGTATGCCAGCTGTTTCAAATAGCAGTGCTGAGGATGCCATGAATACGATTGTGCTTTTTGAGACAAATGTTGATGATCTAAATGACTGATACTATAATTATGATCGAGAGAAAATTATTCATAAGAGTTGCTTGAATGTTTTTCATGAACTGTTTGCACAACACCTAGTGGGGGTTTGAGTGATGGCTGCGCCTATTAGTGTACGCAGCAGAGTTCTGAATAGTTTTGTGGTGTATTTTTTGTTGAATTTATCACGATCCTAGAACATTGTTTGATTGTTGAGTTCGATGTTCTTGTATGTGCTAGTGCGCCTGCATCTGAAAATGTGAAATCCTTGGTCAGAAGCTGACTACTGAGATGGACTTGTGTGCTGTACAGTCAGGGCAAGGGGCATTGCTGCTGAACATTCTCACAAAGTATTCTCACGGTGTGTGCATCTCCCTGTATTTGCTGGTTCTGTATTCTTTCCTTGGCAGGGGTTTGAATATTACTTCGTACAGAATCATGCTTTTTTGCAACAAATAATTTAACAAGATATATTTTTATTTTGTCTTTCCTGTTCATTATACAAGGCCTAATTCGTTTTAATAACATCAAGCAGTCGCTTTATTGCTGCTGATTTTGATGGTTTCAGGCTTTCAATCTGTTGTTGATGGAAAGAATGAAGAGATGTCAACCACAGAGCTTTCTGGAGGAGCGCGCATCCATTATGTTTTTCAAGCTATTTTTGTGAGAAGTTTGGAGGTAATCATACTTTTGAGAATGTCGATTGGCTTGAATTTGATGAACTGTTTGCAGTTGATTCAGGTGATGCTTTCAAATTTCCACATGGTATTTATGAAAATGTCACTGAGTACGTGTTTTTGTAAGTAGTTGTGTGGAGTCTGTATGTGACTCGCACATTTGACTGTTCGAATTTTTGACAACACAGGAGGTAGATCCATGCGATGGTTTGCACGATAGTGATATACGAACAGCTATACAAAATGCATCTGGGCCCAAAAACGTACTTTTCGTACCTGAGGTATGATTGCCTTCACCTTATCCTCTACATCGTAACCTTGGCCTTGTGACAGCAGTTTTGACTTCCAGCTTTGTATCCGATCTTTTTAGTTGGTGTGAGTACATAAAGGGTTTTAAGAAGTATATTTTTGAGCTTTGCACTGTATTTCGTATCTTGAAAATGTGAAAACCTTCGAGCAAGTCGTTTCTTTTAGGTTTTTGTTGAAAGCACTTGCATGTTTCGTCAGGTTTTAAATAGTCGAGGAAACATTTTATGCAAAATCCAGGGCGTATGATGAATCTTTTTTGAAGGAATAAGTATTTATTTAGGAGAGCTTATGTCCTGAAATTTGACCTCCTTCTCCTGATGGTCTATCTCTACGGTTGTGAAAGTATTTTAGGACAATATCTGTTCGTGTTTCAGATGTTGTCGTTTGGTTTGTATAGGTACCATTTGAGGTGCTAGTGCGCCGACAGATCGCTCGGTTACTGGAGCCTAGTTTACAGTGTGCTCGCTTCATTTACGATGAGCTTGTGAAGGTATTATTTGGAGTCCCTTCTTGTTATAGCTTCAAATACTTGAAGTCTAATTGTGATTGGTTTCGTAGAATTAGTTGTCACAATGTGTACTAGAAAAACTTCAACTGATTGTAGGAGTTTGTCGTGTTAACTCTCTTTCCCGCAGACATTTATTTACAAATAAAAAAATGAATATTTATAATTTATTGCACATGTATGTACACAATGCTTTGTACCAATCACGGTAGATAGTTATATTTTTTCTATTATCAAGAGAATTTTTCTGTCCTCTTCGTGCGTAATGCCTTGTTCATATACATGGAATCTTTGTTTAATCATGAAGACGTTTTTGATATGGTGGAGTTTGCTGTATGCAGATTTCACACAGGTGTGAATCACATGAGTTGCAACGGTTTCCACATTTGCGAAAGCGCATCGAGGAAGTGGTAGGAAGTTTTCTTCGTGAAGGTTTATCCCCTGCAGAAACCATGATTGGTCATCTGATTGAAATGGAGGTAAGTGAAGCTTTGTTAGTGGACCTATGTTGTGGCTGTTAGTAGTATTGTTGTATGAATTTGGTTACGAAACTATCTCGTTCTTTGCTTAATAAAATGATAAGATTACTTTTGGGTATATTAAAAGATTAATATTTTTTTTTTTGTTGTATATGGCAAGAGTTCTAATCTTCTGAATCTCCGACAGAGACATGGCAAGGAAGTAGGATTGAAACCTACAATTATGCCGATGCATCATGAGCTTGTCGGATGTGTTGATCTCAAGGGTGTGTGGCCTTCCTGGCAGATGGATTACATCAACACGTCGCATCCTGGCTTTATAGGTGGCAGCAAGGCCGTGGAGATGGCTTTGAATCAGCAACGGAGTGCTAAGGCATTGGTTCTTAAGGTTGCTCTTTGTAAACATTTCGACCCTTTTGGTTTATATTCTGACAGCCATATCATGATGTCACCATCTGACTGAATGCATCTCAATACCACAGAAATGGATCATATTGAGATCTTTCGCCGGTCTTTTGGTTCACTCCTTTAATTAACAACTGAAATAGCTGACCTTATTGTTTACATGTATTACCATCATGGGTCTGTAGGATTTGCATGATTTGGAGCGGCCTCCGTCCTTGCCAGAGAAGCAAGCCAAGGCACGTGCAATCTTGGCTCGAACTAATGCCGCATCACTTGCTTCCAATGAACAGGTATGTCATTCTCATATTGTATGTTCTGTGGACCAATCTTTAGTTCGTGGAGATCTGCATCTTTGCTGTTGGACCAGTTCGCTGTAAGTAGAAAGATCCTTCTTGTTTTGGTGTGCAGGCTACACCAAGGCCTTCAACTGTGCCTCAAGAGAAGGCTACTACTCCCAGTAAGTGTTTGTATACTTAAAGCGTCCACTGCCTGTTGATTGTGAAGAGTCCTTGAGGTGTTAGCATACTGCTAAGGACATGATACTACTAGCCATGTTACAGAATGGAAATGCTTGATTATGTTAGTAACTTGCGACATAGTAGATTCGGGAACCGCTATCTATGAATTAGATTCACTGTTGGAATACATCACTAGTATCGCAAGTACTGGTGTTAAATTTCTTTTCTTGCGGGTCCAGGTAGTTCTACATCTGGAAGTGCCTGGGGAATATCCTCCATATTTTCTAGCAGTGAAGCTCGTCAACCTGCGAATGGCAGCAGTAAGGAGCACGCACCTGTTCGAATCTATTCTGAACTTGCACAAGGTTCATTAGAACCTTCCTTTTCAGGCATTCAGCTGCGTGAGGTGGGTGTCTTTACCTTGAATTTGCAATTTTTTGTGGTCGTATGCAAGTTCAAGTCGTTGGTTCGATGAAGTGGAGAAATACCCAATTTTATGGAGGGTGGTGTTTGTTTGCATTCTTGAGAATTATCCCAAGTACCACTGTTGTAGAACCAGTTTTTTATTGAAACATATAGAGTTGTGGAGTTGTGACATGATTGTGCATGTCCAACAGCCACCAGCTACTCTTAGAGCGAGTGATGCTCAAGGCGAGCAGGAGAGCGTGGAAATTGCTGTCACTCGGCTGTTACTAAAGTCCTACTATGATATTGTGCGGAAGAACATTCAAGATTTGGTGCCGAAAGCTATCATGCATTTCTTGGTTTGTCATTGTCTCTTCCTGTTTTTTTTTTTGTTTTTGTGTTTTTTTTTGTTTATTTGTGTGTGTGTGTCAAGAGTGTTACTTCAATTTACAAGAAAGTGTTTTCAGGTTTTTTAAAAATAGAAGCATGTTTTGGTGTTGAGTTTTGTAGCTCTGTTTGTGAGTTAGACTTGGAGGCACTTATTTATCTGTTTTCCTTTTCGTGGTTTGACAACTTTTCGTCTTTGCCGAATTTTTAAGCTTCATGTACTTTGTTTTGTTGAGACTACAGGTTAATCACGTGAAAAGGGAACTGCATAGTGTATTTATTCGAAAGTTGTACAGGTGATTTAACATTCTGGGAACTTGTGTTTGGTTAAATCATTTTGTATTTCATTCGTATACATGTTTTTCTGTATGGATGTTGTTTATTGATATCTGCTGGGATATTTCTGGTCTCACATCAAAGTCTGTTGTTGTGACAATCTCCTTTAGGGAGAATCTGTTTGAAGAGGTGCTCCAAGAAAAGGAAGAGATTGCAGTCAAGAGGAAGCGTTGTAAAGAAATTTTACGAGTGTTACAGCAGGGTGCCTGGGTATTAAGTTCTCCCGCTTTCTCCAATAATTTTGTTTTGCAAATAATATAAATGATCTATCAGGTTTTTTCGATCTTCGAATAACCAACTATAGAATTGATATAAATTCATTTTCTCCTTGAAAGGAACATGTGGGGTTTGTGTTTTTTTGTTTTTTTTTGGGTTTGCTTTATTTTCCAGCTTGATTTAATTACCATGCAGGCCATGTTGTTGGTCCAGTAGTTTTATTGATAGGATCTGTAGCTATTCGTGATTAGAACTAGTAACATCACCCTTCACGTTTGATATGTGATTGAAATTATAGGCAAGCCGTGTGGCAGACATGTGGATGGATGTCATGCCATTGCTGACTGACCTTTACCGCTTTGGTTGCAGGAATTGGACACCAATTTTTATTGACTCTTGGAGTCAATACAACAATTTTTCTTTAGGCTAATTTTTTAAAGTATTAAACGTAGCTTAGAATTTGATATATCAGATTTTCTTTAACAATTGTGTCTGAATGACATTATCCAGATCCAACTTATTTGTATCCTATTTTAAAGTTCTGATTGGGGTCTTCACCAATCAGAATGCTTTGTCAAAACCCATGGCCACTAAATTTTGATTAGAACATATGAGAGCTTTTTAAAGCCTCATGGTTTCATTTTCATGCAGACGACGTTTCCCGTTCATTGTGAAATTGACTGGTTTCGTTTCAAGTCATGTGGTGAAACTTAAAATGTAGGCTTTTCAAACTAATGGTCCTTCACTGGTCCTGGATACGGTTGTTGTTTAGGCAAGTAGGGCATTCGGCAGAATATGAGTTTTGGATGTTTGTGGATGTGTGGCCAGATCTTGGAAGAACTTCCATTAGAGTTCCATGCGGCATCACAATCTGCCTCCATCTTTGGTTCAACAGGACTACCCATTCTTTCTTCAAGATGTGGTGCGATTACTCCAGCGTTGTATGCCTTCATCGATGGTGGTTGTGATGAATCTCAAATAAGCTCAGATCTCTTAGGTTCACCAAGATATTCGAAATCTATAAGGTCCTTTCATATCGAACATACTTTTGCTGCAAATGTAGGCATGTCCTAATCTCAATTACTTAAGCCTCTGATAGTTAACTTGTCTAGAAGTTGACAAGTTCTAGATGTTGTTTTGAACGTCAATAGAATATCTAAAGAATTTCTGGGAGATGACATAACATTTTTTTCCCTAGAGGACGAACAAATTATTTCTATTTCTCCATGTAAACATGTAATGTAAACATGCTGCCTCAAAAAACCTTGCAACTGTTTTATCCCAACTTTGAATTCGTGTCAATGAACTGCAAGCCCATTAACTCACACAAACCACTGCTTGAAAACCTGCGAGTTTAAGGACCGGTTGTATTAAAGCATGTTTCTACATTTTTATTTTTTCTATTATTCGCTGCTTTGTTCTAATGGGTAGTCTACAAATTTCACTCTAGTTGCTTTCAGGATGATTCTTAGGATGTCATGAATTGAAACAGATGTTCGAAATTTATACATGGATTAAATCTTAATGGGATATTATATTGTGTATGAAATGGTGTGGCATGGAACCTTTCTAAGATTTAATTCTCTTAGTTTTGTTGGTGTGTTTGTGGTGTGCAAAGTGATAGTGATTGTAGTAGGACATTGTGGCTCCAATGAATTTTGTTTCTCATTAGGTCAACACATGAATGTCTATAGATAGGTTTTAAGTCTTTTGAGTGTTGTGTCTTTGTACTAAACTTATCTCTGTTCTCTTGAGATTGTATATGCAAATCGGTATATTTGGATATTTAAGTTGGATCATTTCCACTTGTTTAGTGTTATTGGCACTATTCATCCAACATTAGGATTTGTTGGCAGCACCAACAGCAATCCATTACTTAGGATTCCATCTAATTATTAAGATTTCATCCTTTTTCAATAGATGAACATATCTAGTTTCTATATTATCCAATTCACACCTATTTTAGGTGAATGTATCCTTTATTTCACACAATAAAATGTGTACAATGCTTGAGAGTATACAAATTGAATATAAATAAGGTATTAGAACTAGGCTTTTGAGAGAATATTGTAGAATTGTTTATTTCTTGAATAGGCAGAATTATTCAAGGAAAATAGAGAAAGTTTGTTCTTTCTAGTATTGTCTTTGTGTATACTATCTACAATATAGAATTATGGACCTACTTATGAGAGACTTCAATGATTATATGAAGTTAGAGAGAGCATCTAACTACATGCTATGGAGCTATAGAATTCACATGATATTGATGTAAGAAAATTTGTGGAAGTTGATTGAAACATCTGCATCTATTCCTATCAATACTAAATAGTCTACAAATTCATCTACCAACATATGTGCACTTGCAAACTCTACCGCAATATAATAAGATCAAACCAAGACAAATACATTAGTCTCTATAATTCAAGATTATATTAGAGCTTATTGTATTATCACTTCTATAATACAATAATCTATTATTCCTTGTGTTATTGGTATTCTTAAACCACAAGCTATTTGGAAACAATTACAGATATTGTATGATGTACAAAATGCAAATAAAGAGCTTATTTTGAGAAAAAAGTTGTATGCACTTTGCTTACGAGAAAAAAAGAATTCAGGCAATTTTTTGCAAGAAACTAATTTTTTACTTAACTGTAGAATAGGTACGTTACTGGTTAGTTATTGATAACCTTGAGAATTAGATTGATGGTTAGGCAGTTTAGTTGGTAACAATAGGTTGTTAGTGGAATAAATGGTTAAGAATTCAAAGGGTCATAACCTTTGGAATCCGCTGGCCGATGGATCATCTTTTTGGTAGGATAAAGAGGTTGAAGAAAGAGAGATCGGAGCCAGACTAAGAGAGTCGTAAGCCGAGATAAGCTTGGTGCTACCTCTTTGTTTTCTTTATTATTTGCTTATGAAGAATTGTGATCGAGAGAAGTATTATTGAATTGATAGTCGTAGAATGGATTAAGTGTTGAATCAAGATGGAAGTAGTAAGCCTTGGTGTTTTGTAGTTTGATACTTGATTTCAGATAGGTAGAATACAGTCAATTGTGACACTAACAGACCCAATTCGTATAATTAGTCTTTTCCCGTATTCGAACCTACCTCTATTAGTTCAATTGCTTAGGTATATTGAAGCTTGAATACAATGAAAACAACATTTTGGCACCACTGTCGGAGAAATGATAACAATATGAAATGTTAGAAATTGATTGTATGGACGATGGAATTATATGTTGAATGAGAACGTGAAAAGAACTAGTTTTAGGATTACAAATATGTGATTTATAATTCAAGGCAGTATTGATTTTGCCAAAAAGAATGAAAGATTATGAGTGATAATCATGAAGGGGAGGATTATTAAAGAATTAATCGACAAGCGAAAGAAAGACAGGAGCAATTATGCATAAGGAATATCCTATGGGAACGACAAAAAGGAATTGCAGGTCCAAGAAAAACCAAAGAAAGAAAAATTCAAATTCAAATAGCAAGAAGACCAGTGATAACACCAATGGCCACGGGAGTGCCAGAAGTACCAATTGCGGTACAAATGGGAGCAGTAGGAGACCGAACTACAAATGTGGCACCATTACTGTCAAGGATAAAGATTCGATGAGGGAAAATATACACAAAAAGGCTATCTCGATATAATAAGTCAAAATATAAACAAGTAGGTATATTAAAAGGAAATTGGAATAGCTATTACCACAAGTCAAGAAACTAAAGATTCTTGAACCTGGACTAGAAGCAAGAAAAGAGTTGACAAGAGTGAAGAAGCCTTCACTCTTGTCTCTATATATACTATCTAATTAGGGGCTACGTGGCGACGTTCTATAGGACCTCCAATATATGTTGACTTTGTAGGACACATGCCTTGACTTACAAGGCAAGTTTTTCTACGTGTGGGCCACATAGTTAGCTTGATCTTCAAGCTAACAACATGTGTGGCACATGGCCAACTTGTTGACCACGTTTCTAATCCAAAAAGTCAATTAAAGACACCTATGAAGTCAAAGCAGTGTCTAGGAAGTTTCTAGGAAGCTTCTATATTAAATATTATAGAATTAACTTATTTTTATCTATTTTTACTTACTTCTACCTATTTCTATATGTAATTATTAGCTTACATGATTATGGCCGTGACATTATCCTCCCTTCTAGAGACGAGTTCCATGAGGAGCGGTCATCATATGTTGAGGAAATCTATGATGCGACGAATTGTATTCGCCACATACTCTGATCTCTGTTCTCTTCGAAGATGATTGATAGGGCCTCTCAACCATCGGTAGTGTCCCATACCAGGGCGGGAAGACCACCCATTTATTTGATCATTGTTGAGGCCTTCGTAACTTCCTTCCAATAGAATATTCGGAACACCATCAGGAGTTGTTCCTACCTCTAGCGAAATCACCAAACATCGAGAGTCCCTTCCCAAATCGTGATACCAAACGCGTTGTATCTCACCATCTATTCGAGGAAGAACATGTCGTTCTTGAAGATCTTCATCTCGATTACGTCGTCTTGAAGGTTGTGACAATCGTAATGTCTCGTCCGGCAGGTCAGCAAACGAAGGTTCTTGAGTTGAATCCGCTGGTTGTTGGCTCTCCATCTAATTAGCGTCACAAATGTAAAGAAGTTACAAACAAGGATAAAAAATTGAATGTTATCTTGCCTCAATCTTGTCTCTTTTATAAGAGAGATTTTCATCTTGGTTTTGATGGATGTCGTTGATGAAAAACTTTGACTTTAGCTGATGCATTTGCTAGATTCCTGGATGGCTCCCATGTGCGTTCACTAATATCATATCCGCGCCAATGAACAAGATATTCCAGCTTATTTCGGCGCCGCCTTGAGTCTAATATCTCTTCCACCTCAAATTCTTCATTATTATCTACTTCTATAGGAGGCGGTAGCATTTGTCTTCTTCCTTGTATATCCACTGTCTTATATGGTTCAAGAAGAGACACGTGAAATACAGGATGGATCTTCATTGACTCCGGTAGATGTAACCGATATGCAACTGGGTTGATCTGTTCAGAAACAGAAAAAGGGCCAAGCCTACGATAGTCCAACTTGTCACAAGGTCGAGTAGTCTTGATATTGCGACGGAGTAGCCATACCTTATCACCCACGTTGATTTGTGGTTGCTCTTTACGATATAGATCTGCGTTTATCTTTTGTCGTTCTTGAGCTTCCTTCAATTGCGTCTTCATTATTGCATATAACTTTGACAACCGATTTGCCATATCTTCTGCTGCATGATTATCAACTTTTGAAAAATCAAAAGTATCAAGTCGTGGATGATAGCCATAATTGGCAAAGAAAGGTGTTTGTTGCGTGGAAGAATGTACCATATTATTATAAGCAAACTCTGCCAATGGCAGAAGGGTTGTCCAATCATCTTGTTGGTAGTTGATAGTACACCTTAAATATTGCTCCAAGACTTGGTTTACGCGCTCTGTTTGTCCATCAGTTTGAGGATGGAAAGCTGAAGATAGCTTTATGTCCACTTTTAAAATCTTGAAAAGAGTCCTCCAGAATCTCGACACAAATTGAGTTCCCCTATCCGATATGATATCTTTAGGTAATCCATGATAGCGATAGATATTATCAATGAAAAGCTTAGCTGTTTCTTCACCTATGA